GCTTTATCTGTTAGTAAAATTTTGTTGCAAACTGGGCATCTTTTACATGTATTGACCCCTTTTAACAGAAATTACTTATTTTATGTACATAATCAGCGTTAGAGAATGATTTGAGGATAAAGATGTTTACTTTGGATGGGTCTCCCTAAGAACTAAATCGTATAGCCTTAAATTCAACTCAAGACCACGGAATTATTAGTAACCTCAGCCCATTTTCATAAAAACACCTTATGCAATCTGCATGGGCCTCGCTCCTTACCCTCACTATAAACGATTGTCCTTGCGAGCGTATTTATGGGTCGCCACAGGGCTTATTCCTTTCTTTTTTGTGTTTGAAGCGAACTTCCCCCATTTTTGTGGCTTAATTTAAAAGATTTGGCTGTTTTTCAATTTATTGCATATTTTAAATAGACTTGTAGACTGTAGACTGTAGCAGCTCCTCACGTAGATCTCCTTCGCTGGATTCATAGGTAACTAAAGGGTGTCTCAATAAGAGCTCCAGATTTGATTTTCAAGAAAAACACAATTTCTTTTTGAATTAAGCGAGTATTTATATTTCAACATAAAGAGGAATAGTTGCGATTGAACATGAATTCACAGCAGTGCGCATGGTCCGTTGGCTTGAGTTCTTGTGTCAGTTGAACCTTGCACGCATGCAAGCATAGATCTTTTGTCAAAATTCGTTGAAGAGTGGTTCTGGGAAGGTTCAATTCTTGGCCACGATGCCGAATGAAAGTGCTTGGATTCTCGGCCACTTTCCCGCACTCCGTCTATATTTTCGAGGGATCGACCAGCGCGGCGAAGAACAGTGATCGTCACATTCAGCAACGTGAATTTTGTCTCAAAATCTGTAATTAAACGGGGAACTGTCGACTCATTTGGCGAATTATTGCGACCGAAAGTTGCACGTAATTAGACAACTGTTTCCGCGTAATTTTCTCCATTTTTGTATTTGTATTTTTTACAATAAGTAAACGTTGCTCATTTGAATACTACTCCATGACGTCTAATCGCGTGGTCTAAACATGACAGCTGTCATCAAGTAAACACCATACTATTTGTCAAAAAATGGCAGCAAATTCAAATCTGGCGCACTTGTTGAGACACCCTTTATAAGCTCTCTAACTCCTTTTCCAATAGAAGATATTTCCTGACTCGATTAATTCTGAACCTCAGATTGTAATTATATATTATAGCTAAAATCTCAGAGTCTAGTTTGGGAGGGTAAAGTTACTTCAGACTAGCAGGTATTCGATGTCTATCCAGAAGAGACCTTGTTTCAACATTGGGTAAAACAGTACACGTCCTTGATACTAGCTCTTCGTGTAATGCTAAACTCATATTTCGAGGCTTTTCTGGGTTGGCGTTCAAGATATTCAGAACTTCTTCGAGAAGCTCAATGTTATATATTGATATCTTATTGGATTCCAGCACATCAATCAAGTCACAAGCTTGATACAATCTAGTCTTCACGCTATGCTCGCCCGCTTCTTCGCTTGAAAGATGTGGGACGATGGGAATCATGACGATGTCTATGTCTATGGGAGTTTCTAGATCGCGACCTGGACATCTCACGGGAGTGCAACAAAGAGCTGCGACGTTCTATTTGTTTTAAATGTTTGCGGGATCGCCCAAGAAAAGCCTCTTCCTCTTTTCCATCCTAAATTCTAAATTCGCATTCACATATTGGGACAACGTAAGCCAACACCAACGTGTGGACGCCAAACCAATAAGCATTGGCCGGGATTGGCCAACGTTGACGATTAATGATAGCATATATCATACGTTGTGCAAGGGACATAAAACAAATTAGAATAAATTCAATTAGTACTTACTCTTTCGGTACATTATCCTCTACCCTTTAGGACATGGTTCATTGTGTTCGAGAACCTATTTGCGCAGGAAAAACTGCGCTTTCGATTTGACCATGCGAAGCACCAAAAGCACAATGACAGTCTGAAAGAATGGATAAGCAGAAGGCACGGGTGTTACGAATCTTGAAAAGCGACATTATGTTGATTTTTTTTGACATTGTATTGGGTTTTTGTGAAATTATGTAGGTTTTTCTACAAGACGTTAACTTAGATTTACGTGTTGCCTAAACGTCATGATGCTTCAGTTATCAATGTTTTGCTCTGATGTGATGTAAAATATGCTTCAGAGATGGCATTACTGGAGGTCTAAGCTGTAAGTTGTATACTATAGCTAGAAGGAAACGGCAATGCATAGGTGCATAGTGAGGATTTATGTGCTAATAATATGTATTGATGATAATATCATTGGATTCCTGTCTCAAATACACTTACTTGAGATTCAACTAACACGAAGGCCTAAGGCCTAAACACTTATGGGGTACCGTGGTGATATAGGGGGAAACAGGGGAAAGGGGGGACGCCACACGGACTCTGGCGAGGGAACACGTGTGCATGCGACATGCACACATTCTGGCCCCGCCTACGAGATACTTCATTGACAGTTTGCTACTCAACCAACTTTCTTCTCAGAGATGAAAACTACAGACTACTCGGCTTCACAAAACATATGCAACCAACAACGCGCGTAGTTGAGTGATTCCTCGATAGATGGATGCTCACAATGATCCTATTGAGCAAACGTGGAATTACTGTTTGTCCCTAGTTTGCAAGATGACATTTTATTGGTTTTACTTTGACGTTTTATAGGTTTTTTTACATAATACCCTTTTCTTTAAACCTGGTGAGCGAAAGCAGAAAATGATAATGTGATATCGAGGAATGGGCGCCAAAATGTAATAATGGCGCTCAATACAGTGAACATTTTTTCTATTTACTTTTTGAGTTAGGAAAGTATTGCTTTTATCTATCTATCTATCTTTTATCTATCTGTCTAGCCAAGGCTGCCCCTACCGGATGTCGCAGCTCTATAGATAAAATTGTAGATTTGTACAAAATTGCTCTGGAAAAGCCATTTTCTTGGCAATCCTAAAGCGCTCGTGACAAGAGCGTCCTTGGCTCGTGTTCAGAGGTTTCATTTAAAGATGCACCGAGTACTCGATTTGTACATGGTACTTGGCGTACTCGGCCGATTTTACCGAGCACGTGGTTTCGCCGAGTATTAAATTACTGGGCCGGGACAATCGAAGAATTGAAAATGCGATATACAAAGTCTGACCTCATAATCACTGCTTTTCTAAATCTTCCTAATATGTAGTCCAAGAAATTAATCCACCATCAAAAAGATAGCCAAGGTTACTACCTAGGGCACACGGTATTTCTTGTATACAAAATGTTACTACTACATGTTTAAAAAAAAACGAATGGAGCAGCTAGAACAACACACATTATGGTCTCAGCCTCATTGCACTTTTATTTGCTCTTTTATTTATCCTATGAACACTCAAAAAACAACAAAAGCACAAATTAAAATATGCAAAATGCAGTTAAAAGTCGTAAAGTAAGTCGGATCACTAGTTTTCCGCATATCTGCAAAAGAAACCTCTACTCATACGTAAGGATAATTTAGGTTTAGTCCTTCCGAAATTTTACCTTTTCCCAAATGCACTCAGAAACTTATATAGAATTTAAATTCAATAATGGCCACATTTTCTTATCGTATGTAATTTTTAGACGTTAAAGAAGCATTGGCCTCGCGTTGCCTACCTTAAAACCTGGTTGTCAGGCATGCTCGTATACCCTTTAAATGTCTTACAAACGTGATACTTTCGTGAAAAGAAACACTGAAAACGACTTCGAAAATAAATGATTAAAAAATGTAGAGACATGATATAGTTTCAATTTTTGACATAGTATTGTAAGACCTTTATAACATAACTTCTAAGTCTAAGGACACTAACCTACGCAGCTTCAATCGCAAAAAAATATCACTGACGCACTACTGGTGGTGGCTGGTATCCTTCCATTTGCTTTGCTGGCTGAGGTTTGATGCGCCCTCTATAAAGAGGGTTGATACGGGAGTGGTGCAGATAGATTACTACAGTTTTTCACATGACATGATTGCTTTGACAACTGAAGAGGCTAAGAAAGCGGGTCTATGCATACTATATAATCATATGGCACCGAAAGAGAGGATACTCCCAATCATCTACTTGAATGTGGTTGAGGCAGCTGGAATTAACACCCGGCGAAAAGCTCACAGCTGACAGATTTGCCAGGCATGTAGGCGAGGGTAAGTCCGATTCAACCAACAGTGCGTCAAATCATGCTGACCAAGGCGCGAGAGGACAAAAATAGACCAAGGAACCAACAATAGGCAGTAGCCTTATCAGGCTGTGCATGTAAATAAATAAAGTTGTATGTTATATGCACGGTTCAAAAATAAGATAACCAGATACCTTCGGTATAAAATCTTAGCGCAACGATGGAGAATCTAATATGTTGAGCTAAAAGGTTGACATGGCAATACTGTCAAGCATTTCTGTCTGAGAGTGGCTATAAAAGGTTTTTCCTGTCAAAAAATTTGTCTAAGCTGCATAACTATCATTTTTTGCGGTGCATCAATTTTTGGGAAGTGCCCGTCAATTTTAAAATAAAGGAACCTTTCAAAATCCCGAACAAAACTTTGATATCACTACCAGTAGCTGAAACAACCGAAAGCAAATAACTCGACCGGTACTCAGCTTTGTGGAAGACGTTTTCTCCTCGCTCGCGTCAGCTTCGAGCTTCATCCCCTGACCCTCGGTACTGTCCTGCACCCATTACTGCAAGTAACTTACTCCGATTCGAAAAGCGGCATTGCCAAAAGCATCTGTTATTTTTTCGTTTTCATCTATGAACTATCTATTCTTTGAAAAGTTACTTCGTATTCAATAAACCAATTTACGAATCACCAAACGTACTCTAAAAGCAAGTCCAACTAAATAAGTTGGACGGGATGCAACTATGCATATACAGGGTGTTGTCTAGTCTCACAAGAGACTTCTCACATCAAGATACTACAATATAACAATGAGCAGACAGATGGACAAACAGACCGACGGAAGTGAGTTTTCGTAATGTACATGTCTGTGCGCGCAAATTTGCTCAAGTCAATACCACCCAAAAATGTTGTGTGCGTAAGCGCGTTCCCGCACGAATACTTTCCGTCGCTTGTCGGTACATCAAAGGAAACGTGTGCTCAGTGTGGACGGTGTTTTTGTAGGAGCGGTTGTTCGCGCACAGTATAAAATATGGAGTGGGCAAATGAAAATGCGCTCCAATTAATAGATGAATATGAAAAATATCCGATTTTATGGAATGCCAAACATCCAGAGCACTATTCAAGAAACAAAAAAGCAGATGCGTGGGAACGTATTGCGTATAACTTAAAAGTGGAAGAGCATGAAGCGAAACAGAAAATGAATAGTCTTCTAGGGTCATTTCGTAGAGAAAATGCAAAAGGAACAAAAAGTATTGGGACAGGCAAAGGTCAGTAAATATCCTGATTCTTTTGAAGGTATTTATAAAAATGCATTTTGAAGGTCGGCAAGATGTGTATGTTTCGAAATGGTATGCATTTAAAAGAATGCATTTCTTACTTGACAAAGATGAACCAAGAGAAACAATTGATACAGAGACAGAATGCGTATTTTATTATTTATATAGGATTTTTGTACAGGGTGAGTCACTACTGTGTCCTCGGTTTATAATTCGTAAGAAATAAGCCGGAGAACAAGTTCAAAGTGCATTAAAAACGGCAATCAACAATGCTATAAAATATATGGGGTTGCATTTCAAAGAAGATTATGAAATAGGTAACATTTGTATTAAGACCCGCCATGATGACACACTAATGACTCATCCTTTACATAACTAGAATTTATGCATAATGGTCTTGCCAACATACACGACCATTGCTAGTAAAGTATGCAGCAAACTCGTTTCGAATGTCTTGTGCTTCTTTAGGTGATTTTCGGGGCAAACATCTAATAGGGATTAGCGATGACATGTTTTCATTTGGTGTTTCTCTCCAATTGCCTGGTACAAATTGGCCATCTATATCAGTATCGAAGGTTCCCGTGGGATTATACAACGTCCGAGAGTGTCTATTTCTTCTTAAAAAGTTGTGAAGCAAAACAATAGTCATTACGACAAGTTCTGCCTTTTCGGGCTCTAAAAGTATAGGCTTTCGTAATATTCGAAATACGGAAGAAGAAATTCCAAAGACATTTTCTACAATTCTTTGGGCTCGGCTAAGACGATAATTGAATATTCTTTCCAGTGATCCTTTCCGATGGGTTCCTGAGAATGGCTTTATAATATGCTTACTCAACGGAAATGCTTCATGTCCGAGAAATACATACTCCACCTCCTGATTCCTTCCTGGTAGACTTCTTGCTGTAGGAATCTTCAAGTCATTGCTCTGTAATCTTTTATATAGTGTACTGTGTTTAAACACGCCTCCATCAGAAATTCGACCCTGACAGCCTGCATCAGCAAATATAAAATTGTAATTTGCGTCAACTAAAGCGAGTAATACAATACTACAGTGTGATTTATAGTTATAGTATTCGCTGCCGCTGTTTATTGGAGTTTGTAGCGCTACATGCTTTCCATATATGGCGCCCAAGCAATTTGGAAAGTTCCGCAACTCTTGATATTGTTCTGAAACTAATAACCATTCTTCAGGAGTTGACGGCATCTGAAAAATTCATATAGTTTTAGATTTAACATTCAAATGAATAACTTTTTATAATTTTTAATTTTTTCAGGTTATTGATGACGTACAGAATTCTGGGGAAAAAGATCTCGGACCGTTTGATAGTTCTCCCCAAAATTCTAATTTAGATGCAAGTGAAGGAAACAAAAGACGTCAAATTGACTTGCAATCCGAAAATGAACAGGATGTGAATGAAATGTCTCCAAAACCGAAAAAGGTCAAAGCAAAAAGTAAAAATGAAGATCCAAGATTGGAGGAAGCTTATCAAATTTTGAAAAAAGTGGCCGCACCTCAACCAGTCGTCACAGAAGATGAATTTGCAGTATATGGACAACATATAGCAAAGAAACTGAGAGGTTACAATAGAAGGACTCGAGTCGAAGTTGAACATGCTTTCAGTAGAATTCTATATGATGCTGATATTGGCAAATACGAGTGGGTTGCTCCACCAGTGCAGTTTGTTCCTCATACTATGCCACAACAACTTACAACACCTCTTCCAACAATGTATCCTCCTAATTCTACACCACATTCTACCCCATCACGTTCTCCCTGTCTAACTCCTTACACAACTTATTCTTCCTCACAATCCCACTGCTCAACCCCTAACCCCATCTCAACGGAAATGGTAAATGTAGAGTTGGCTTATTCAGACTCACTTTGACGTGACGCATTCAACATTGTACGACATAATTACATTTTGGTTTATATATACGCATTTCAAGCTGTAGCATTCTAAGTTTAATAAATAAATATTTAAGTATGTGTAACAAATTATCTAATTACCTTTACATAATCCTTCAGAACTTCAATAAGGGCCCGGCATGTTTCAGGAACAATGGAAGATATAAGCTGTTCTGAAACTTTGAAAAGATACTGCATACTTGTATATGAATCTCCCGTCGCTAAAAAGCGTAGAGTTATGGCAAGTCGCTCCTTAACGGGAACGGCCATTCTCAATCTCGTATTCAGTTTCCTTATTTTGGGTCCGATCATATTAATTAGTAGCTCAAAATGCTGTGAAGACATCCGGACAAAATTTTGAAACTGCCCGCTGATTTCTTGGAATTTCAAATCCGCTAACAATGTTGATCCACTATACATGTCTCTGCTTTTATACAACTGCGTAACCCACCATCGCTTATCCCGTTTGTTCTTCCGTTTACAAGAATGCATCACTATGTAGGCTGCACTTGCTATTTTAATTTGTTTGTTGTTGGACATTTTGACAACGCTATAAAAACGGAGCTGATCGGAAACTAAATAAGCGGCTACTCTAGACGGAACAGAAATTATCGCACACAATTTACGCGCACGTTTTCACAGTCTAAATAATTCGCGCACATATGTGTGCGCGCACAACATTCGTGCGCGCAAATTTGCCTTAAAAAGAATATCATTTTGGAAATTTTTCGTGATTGTAATACCTACTTCCTCGCTAGCTGGCATATGAAGTAAAAATGTTCATTTGATCATGGACGTGGAAAATGCTTCATTTTCATGATGCAGTGGTTTATGTTCTGCGAAAAACTGTACGTCACTGATTCTTTCAAAATAAGTGTCAACTCGTAGAACATCAAGAGGCAGTTTTTGAGCAGAATCAATCTGGCTTTGAAATACTGATATTTTAGTTTGTTTGCATAACTAATGGCGTATTGTTCTTATGCCAAATATAGAGGCTTGCTGGCATGAACGCCATTGGTTTTAGTAGAAGTCTAGAAAACACTTTGTGCATGCCATGGCAATTCTACCATACACTAAATATACTTAATATCTCAGTCTGTTTTCGAAGAACCTAAGATCAACTATTACAGTCGTAATAGTTGAAACACGGATATATGCTTATATGAACTATTTTCATATTTTAACGAATTGGCTCTTCAATTTTCCTGACAATATTCTTTAATACCTTTCATTGCCGACGATGACATGTTCTGTCAACACGATACATATTAAATCGACCCCGAAAAATTTCCCCTGTGTGGTTAGAAATAGAAACATATCCGAGAGATAGGGTGATCTGCCCTAGTAAGGGTTGTTAGACGTGGCAACGTGGGGAAAGTCCCGCAGCCGGCGCGGCGGCAGGCCTCTCCACGCTCTGACCCTGTGCGTCAGTCGTGTCGGGCGCGAATCCAGAGAGGAGGCTCTGGAACTCCGAGCCCCAGGTCCCAGTGCAGGTGCGGAGGCTCGCTCCATCGTGTGAGTGCTGTGAGCGTATTGTGAGTATCCAAGGATAGTACCTGGAAATGGAGAGCTACGCTAGTGCCGCCTCGGTCAGCTGAATCCTGCAGCCGCTTGTGACGGAGGGAGAGAGAGGTATATACTTGACCTTCACCGCGATTCTGCTGGGCCTTGTGCCTCGATGGTTGAAGGCTGACTTTGACCTTATATTTGAAAAGACAATTTTTTGATATATTCAGATACTGGCACTGAAAATAGTATGCAGGTATAAATGTAGCAAGAATCTAAGTAATTTTTCTAACTGGAAAGACTTCTAGAGTTGGTGAACATGTGAAAATGTGATAATCGATGCAGCTGTTTAAAGGTCAGGGATAACATAATATCTCATGTGAAAGTGTAGTTAATAATACATTTTCTGTAATCTGGACAAAATACTGACAATCTATGTTCTAGATGCAAATACTTATTTAAGGATGTAGAGATTAGTGATGTCGCTGATAATTTTTAATAGCTTAAGGAAAGTTCTAAATAGTCACCTTTACCGAAGGATCGGAGCACTGACCTATATATAGAGCAACTAGATATATTGTAGATATCTCAAATAGTTTCATACCGCTGTAGTTGTCCCTGAAACATACTTGGACTAATAATCCAGATAAATAGGTTATGGTACCCCGAGTTTCAGGTCCTAGTGCAGGTGAGGAGGCTCGCTTTATCGTGTAGGTGCTGTGAGCGTACTGTGAGTACCCAATAATAGTACCTGAATATGGAGAGCTACCGTTGTACCGCCTCGGTCAGACATTCCTGCAGCCACTTGTGAAGGAGAGAGAGAGATAGATACTTGATCTTCAGCGCGGTCCAGCTGATCCTTATTCCTCGATAGACAAGGCTGGCTTGTCATATTTGAAAAGACATTTTTATAATAGATACACACTAATATATTCCGATACTGACACTGAGATACATGAGAATAGTATACATGTGTAGATGTAGCAGGAATCCAAGTAAGAGTAAGAGTATAAAGACTTCAGCAATAATTTTCAGTTACAGTTAGCAAATATATGAACCTGGACAAAATAATGGAAATACAGATAATCTATATTCTAAATTCAGATACTCATTTGAGGATGTGAATTATTGGGATGCTGCTAATGCTTGAAATGCCCTATTTTGCCTTGGGCAAAAAGGACTTTTTTTATTGTAACTTTAAATAGTTCTCAACAGTCTGTTTTAGGAAGGCTCTAACTAGAAACGGTTCAGTTTTGGACAAGGGCTGGAGTGTTGTTCACTATATAGAATAACCTAGATGTCCCCTAGATACTTATAGCCGTGGTTGTCTCTGGAACATTGGACCAATAATCCAGAGAAGTAGGTTCTGGAACCCCGTACTCTAGGTCCCAGTACAGCTGGCTTCCAGCTCGCTCTATCGTGCTGTGACAGTACTGTGAGTACCCGGGGATCGTTTCTAGACACGGAGAGCGATGGTAGTGCTACCTCGGTCAGTTGAATTCTGCAGCCGCTAATGAAGGAGGGAGAGAGAGGTAGATATCTAGACGTTCACCTGGATTCTGTTCCGTCATGTGCCTTAATGGGGTAGTTTGGCTTTGACCTTGCACTAAAAAGGACATTTCACTAATAGATACATGCTAATAGTTCTGATACTGATACCATGAGATGTGTACATTAAATACTGGGTAAAGGTATAGCAAAAATCTAAGTAGGTATTTCTGCTCAGTAGAAAGATTCCTGCATCCGTTGTTAGTCACATGAGAAGGTGCAATTTCAGAGTAATACATTTCCTATAATGCGGGCAAGGTTCTGTAAATTCTGCTAATCTAGATTCCAGATGCGAATGCTCATTTAAGGATGTGTAATATTGAGGATGCTGCTGTTCTGTACCTTGAGCAAAAAGTACTATTTTTTTCTATTTGGAATATTCGATAACGTTTAGTACGCTCTTTAGGAAAGCTCTAACTTGAAAAAGGTCACTTAAACCCAAGGCTTTGTCCGTAATATAGAGTAACTGGATATCCCATAGATATCGAATGTAGTTCAATTTCTGCCATGGTTTTCTCTGAAACATACATGGACCAATAATCCAGCCAAGTAGGTTCTGGAACCCCGAACTCTAGTTTCCAGTACACCTGGCTTTCAGTTCGCGCTATCGTGTGAGTGCTGTGCCAGTACTGTGAGTACCCGGGGATGGTTTCTAGACATGGAGAGCGACGGTACTGCCACCTCGGTCAGTTGAACCCTGCATCCGCTAATCAAGGAGGGAGAGATAGGTAGATTTGTGCCTTAATTGGGTAGTTTGGCTTTGACCTTGCACATATACTTGCTAACATCTTCTGATACTGATACCGTGATTTATTAAAATCTAGGTAAAGGTATATAAAGAATCTAAGTAGGTATTTCTGCTCAGTAGAAAGATCCCTGCATCTGTTCTTAGTCACATTTGGCAAACGTATGAAAATATCGTAGAAATCGATACAGTTGTTAAAAAAAAGGCCAAGGGTATCATGAGACAGTGCATTTTCAGAGTAATACATTTTCTGTAATGTGGACAAAGTTCTATAAATACTGACAATCAAGATTATAGATACGAATGCTCATTCAAGGGTGTGAAATATTGATGATGCTGCTAGTAATTGACAATGTCCTGGACGTTGAGCAAAAAGTACTCTTTTTTGGGACAGTCGATAACGTTTAATAGCTTCTTTAGGAAAGCTCTAACTTGAAAAAGCTCACCTTTACCCAAGACTTTGTCCATTATTTAGGGTAGCTAGATATCCTGTAGGTATGTATCAAATATAGTTTTATTCAGAGAAGAAGGTTCTGGAACGCCGAGTTCTAGGTCACAGGCATCTGAATCCCGCGACTTCTTGGGCGTTGCGCCTCAATAGCTTACATGGTGTTGACTTTAGGTGAGGAAAAACATTTTTCTACTAGATACTTGCTAATTTATTCCGATACTGATACCGTGATTGACGAAAGTACTTTTCCTCAGAAGTAACCGTTTTCATTCACCGTCGGCTAACATCAAAATGGTGTGAGAAAGAATCAGTACAGCTGTTAGAAAACCGAAAATATTATGAGAAAGTAAAGTTTGAGAATGATGCATTTTCATTGTGATAATATACTGGGAATGCTGGTAATCTATGAACTAGTGTTTTGTATTGAAGCAGCGGCGTAGGAAGAAGTCTAAAAGGCCCGACGCTACTATGATGAGCCTGAAGAAAATTTTTTAATCCGATTTTTGAACTACCTAAGGTTAGAGGAACTAAAAAAGGCCTCAGGTAGATTCTTCCACAATCTCGATACTCTAGGGACAAATGAGCGGTCGTACTATCATGGATGTACAGATAGACACGGTCGAACTCAGGCGGGATTGTTTGGTAGGTTTGAGGAGCAAAGCTCGTTGACATAGCGGTAGAAGAGAGCTAGCTCGCCGACGTCTCGTCGGCTGAAAGGGTACCGAGGCTGTCGGTTAGGGAAGAGTCATTGATCTGCCCTACATTGAACAGCATCGAACATGGATAATGTAGTCGGGGCGGCATCTAATTGTGGGTATCCAGGAATAGGATCA